TCATTTTATCGTGTAAGGTAGGTTGATTTGAAATTAGTTCAAAACCTAACCAAAAAATTGCTTTGAATCTCAATTCCATTGATAAGGGTTATATTGTATTGTTGCTATCTTCCTTTAATAATTAACCAAATCATCAAACCTCTTGATCATCCTTAGAATGAAAACAATTACAAGTACAGAAACAAATATACTAATATCCTAACTTTCATCGCCCAAAAGTTGGCTTCTTACATTAGTTCTATCTTTGAGATGTTGTGTATTGTTTTATTTTTTATTAAAATATCTTAATTTTTCTCAGTCTCATATATCAATATATAAAATATCATTACACAAAAAATTGTTGTGTGCATTATTTTTATCCCCAAGATGTAGCATTTGTGGTCCCTTTTTCCCTTTCGCCATCCTTTTGGGTAGAATACATAATTGTCTACTTTTAAACCTATTTTTAATTTTAATAATCCAATATCCAAACTCTAGTAAGGAGATTTGCAATTCGTAGTGAATCCAACAAAAATCTATGATAAGATAAACTTATTGACTCGTTCTCTTAATCATCCTTAGAAAAAAAAAAATACATACAAGTACATAAAGAAATAGACCAACAAGTACATAAAGAAATAGACCAATGTCCAAATTTTCATCACCCAAACCTTCTCTTGTTTGGTTGTGTAAATTCATGGGGGATATGGTCTGCATCCTATCTATGGTGGGGACACTCAACTGCAACGCATTGTGAGATGGAGTTATGTGTTGACTCTTATCTAGATGGGTTGACTCAAATGTAATGGGTTCAGTGTACCTTATACCTTTTAAATAATTTTTTTTATTTATAGACTTAAAAAAATAGAAAAAAAAAAGGAAAATGATGTGTGCACACTCGGATCATTTTTTTTTATGCGGAGTGTGCACACCCGGGTGTTGGATCCGGGTGTGCACCAATCATGGTCCAAAAAAAAAAAAAAAAGAAGAAAAACCTTTCATCACTCAAAAAATTGTTGTTTACATTACTTTATTTTCAAGACACTGCATGTATTATCTCATTTTTTTTCTTTTGACATCTTTTAAGTGGGACACAATTGTTTGTCTTTATACTTTCTTTTCATTTTATTTTACAATTTAAACTCTTGATAGCTAAGGTGATTTAAAATTGATTCAGAATCTAACAAAAATTGCTGTCAATCCCAATTCCATTGATAATGGATATATTGTTGCTATCTTCGT